TATTTAAGTTTGCATATACTACATATAAATGAAATAATCTTATGCTTATTATTATATTCTTTAGAAAAATATTCCCAAACTCAAGAGGGTTCTTGTAAAGAAAGTAAAACTGAGTTGAGATCACTTTCTTCACTAGTATTTGTTAGTTCGACTGTTGGCTTAGTTGATATACTTTCTGTTAAATCAATGGTATCATTAGTAGTTTCAAAACTACCTTCAGTTAATTCATTCTCATATTGAATATTTGATTCAAGCATAGTTAGTTTTTGTTTTTTAGACATTTTTTTAATTTTTTTTTTTTTTTTTTTTTAGTTTATAACCGATTTTTTTATTCGTATAAAACAATTTTTAAGCTAATTTAGAATGCAATACACAAATGTATATCTATAAATTATACTACAATTCTTTTTAATAAGTGCATATTCTGTACATATATATAGTATTATTTTTAAACAAGCCATTTAACCAATTTTTAATATCAAGAATATATAATTGTCAAATACAGATCTAATTTTCTAAGTATATCAATAAAAACTTGAAAACAAATAGATAAATTTACAGGTTTTGTTTTGCGATTATTTATTGTTACTAAATGCAATTTGTCTTTATACTTGTATCGCAATTGTAATTATTATATATATATTTTTTTTTTATTAGAAAATTTTCTTGTGATTTATCTGTATAAACCCCATAAAATATCGTATTTTCAAAATAACAGGCTTTACAAAACAATTACGAAGTTTTAAATATTGTTACGGCTATCACTAAAATCAGCTAGTATTGTAATTGAAACCTATTTTATTAATAAAAATATCAGTGTATTGTAATAAGATTTATATTCAAATACTGTATAATATAAATCACTATACTCTTTTAATGCAAAGTATCCTTATCAAAATGTTTACAGTAAAATATTAAATATCTAATGAATATATTTTATGAAATTACCTGGGATACTATGATGTTATATAATGGTGATTCAATAATATCTATACTAACAAAATTAATGCTTTATAAATAAAGATTCTAATGAATATTCAACTTAGTATCATACAGTGTGATCTAAAAGACCTTTTTTTTTAGAGGTCTAGAATGTAAAATACCCTGGGTACTAAGAATAGAATAATTAATTATACTTGGAAATATAAAATATCAAGGTACTAAAGATGAATTAATTGTGCTTAGTATATAAAATATTACTAAAATACTTA